TGCAACATCCTGATTTTTATTACATTTGTTCCTCTCAATGCTTTATTCTTCCAGTCTCATTCACGGGATTGAATATGATATTGCCCCACATCGGACGCAACATATCTGATAAATATCCACTTATGTCACTGCTTCTATTAGCCACATGTAGATATGTCTTTATTCGTGATTACAATTTCATATATTGAACAATTACTATCAATTTGCCAATAATTCAGTTCGATCTGTGTTCTTGTTGACAACCACTCCCCCGTCAAGGCTACAGGTGCCTAATAACCAATCGAATCGAAACGAACCTGTGCTTTCGTTAGCGTTTATATAAGTGTGAGCGCATTCCTACACATTGGTATTTGCCACTTGATTTGGCCTTGTTTGATGTATCATCAGATGAATGCGTTCTCTGTGTATAGAATTTCGATTCTGGTGCACACTACGTTTAGTCTCACTCACGATCGTCAGGCAAACCTTATCTCTGTGCTTTTGCCACACCTCTGATACGCCTGCATCCATCCCCCCACCACCACCAAACACGTACGCACACAAGTACACATTACCCATTTCTGTATTATCCTGGGTCAAGATTGATACACTAATTAATTTGCTCCACTCTTGTGCAACTCATAGTGAAACTGTTTTACATAAATAGCTTGTGACAATTTTACTTGGCCACGTGCATCTACTTGAATTGGGTGGAAAATCTTCCTTCGCAATCAAGCACGTTTCACAGGGAGCCGGAACTCGAGGACAAAAACTGAACAATGCCCATTACCCGAGAGATTTGGATACTCTCTTGTCTGTGGCTGTTCACCATGAGCCTGTGCCAATGTCGTCGTGTTATGTTCCGAGCCGATACAACTTGTACGCAACCGCATACGAGAAATGCACTGCACAGATGGCAAACATTGCCGTTGGAAGTTTGTTGCATTCAGATGGAGATAGCTGAGCCCATATTCGAATACGTACCGTTCCGTGTGGTTGTTAGAGTTGTGGAAAAACAAGTGAGTGTGCGATGCGTCAGTATCTGTTCTGCTCTCCGTGTATACAGTTCTATCTTCATGATCTATCGTTCTTCTAGCTAACGAAGACGCATGCAATATTTACACGAACCACACTATTCGTTTTCGTTGGTTCATTAAACTTGGGGCAGAACAAAGCCGTTACATATTGAACGGAATTCTTTGTTTGTAAATTTCCGGTTGAAAAATGCTGTGTGACACAAATGCTTTTGAGGGGGAGGGGGAGATTAGGTTCTTAAAAACCAAGTAAAGATGTACTTTCACTACAAAACTGAAACAGTTTTACCGGTGCAATAGTTTTCTTATTTATAGTATTTTTCACATGAACTGACGCACACACACACATCAAAGTTTGAAATGAGTCTCACTCAGCTAAGGAGATGTTGGCTCTATGCGCGTTGATACAATTCATCTGGAATAGAACAATTTACTACCAGTGATCCAAAAAGGGCGTTGGGCAGCTGCATCGACCATGCTGTCACTCACTGCTCATCAGTAGAGCGTACATTGCTCATGCCTCTGAGGGGAATCGGGCCACGAATCTTGGGAAACGAAATTCATACCAAGAGCTAACTTCACGGAGTTTTCCGTAGACTCGAGAAACATTGGTGAAACATATTTGCTAAACGTCATATGTATGGCCCAATTCATTGACCAGAATAGATTGCGTAATGAGGGGATAAATGCTATCATATGCATACGATCAATATGTTGGCACCAACGCAATGGGGCAATGACTGTGTACTGAAAAGGAAGGGAACTGGCATTCAGACTCAAACAATATGAACATATCAAATATGAATGAGTAAAAGCAAAGGAAATGAATTCTCAAAATTCAAACCAAAATTGTAACGGAAAGTCTTTTCCATTTCGTGATACATGTGACATGAAAAGCTATATAGTAATGCAGAGCATTCATCCCTGCCTCCTCCTTCTATGGTTGAGTATTATTACCACCTACGTATGCATCTAACCAAATGAGACCGGACGGTTGGGAAAACATACTTGACCACTCAAACACCCCCGAAAGTCCACCACACACTTTCTTTATGTTTATACCGGAAAATATAGTGCAAATCTGGATTCGCAGTCACGGATAAAATCCAACAAACTGAGAACATATGTACCGTAATGCTTCCAAGGTTTTCAGTTATTGTGTTAGGATTCCTGATGACGGTGCTGGTCAGGGACATTCCCTCCTAAACGATTACAGCTTGATGGTCAGTAATTTTGCATACATAACACAAAAACCTAATGAGAAACGTGCCACGGTATTTCTCGCCGACACACAGGATAATGTATAGAGCAATCAATAGTTATTCTCCCCAAAGATATCGTTTGCCCTTAATGGTCTTGTTATATTTTTGATCATCGAAAGTTATCTGCTACTCACAAGTGAGTAGCATCTCAGGTTGCTTGTTTCCTTTGGTCTGTATTTGAGAAAATTCCTTAAAAAATTAAACAGCAAAAATATTTACTTCAGAGGTGATTTCGTCTCATAAAAGATCGAAAAAGTTTAACGCTGCTTTTAGCTACGCACCCTTCAACTCAACTACTTCCAGAACTAAATGGTCTATCCAAACTTGTCATGAGAACGCGAATTAACCACAGATTGATCTGACTGGTTTTCTCTCTACTCTGTCCGAGGCAGAATTCAATAATGCAGAACTAGTCGTTACTATTACATTACCTGCTTGTCCATCGTAACACGGATCTCAAGATTGCATGACTCCAATGCAACCCAGAGATAAACAGAACCTATTCACCTGGTTACGGTGTTTTGTATGTGAATCCGAATGGACCCCTTAGCGAAAGGCAGGGAAACAACAGGGTTCAGCTACGGTGTACTTTCTGCAGTTTCATCCCCGTAATAAAACTAGACCAGGGCTTCGTTTTTCATTTGTAGCTCATCCCATTCACATTGTCACGTGTAACCTGAAATTGCCATTGCACCAAAAACGATCTCCTACTGGGTTGACACGGCTCGGTGGAGGTGAACTGATTTCCATGAGCTGATCCTGGCGGATCGGATTTGACATCACCAGATACTGGGTGGCTCAGAACTCAAACGCATTGCTTCGCTCTCTCCATCCCCCCCCGCCTTCCGTTCTGTTTTCGGTAAGAGTGATTCACTTTCTGACCTCAAGTGAACTTCTCTATTGTAAGGCATTGTCCTGTTCCAAGCTGGTCTGTGATTATGAGAACAATGTCACTTTGATTTACAAATGGCTCCTAGATGGAATAGAATAGCAGCGAAAACAGGATTTCAAGTGCGTTCAAGCATGTGATCACCTATAACTGGGTAATAAATCTGTATATGGAGTGTGTGTATACCTTAGAATGAGGGTTGCTTTTTTGTTATCACATAACATGCGACCATCTTAAAATTGTCTCCATGTCGTTGGATAAAGAGAATGAATGCTGTTTCTTCGTCGAAGGACTGAAAATCAATTATATCACTTCTTAATTTCTGGTCAGACCCAAGATTTTCAGGTAAACTATCGATACAAACAAGTTCAATAATTATGAGAAAAAAGAATTGCGAAAGATTTTTGACACGTGAACACTCAAGCTTAGCAAGATAACACAGGTGTTACCAGTGGCAATCAATGATTTGAGTTGGATGTCCATCTCGGACACATTGCAGCGTTTCTTGAGTCTGAACAGGAAAGTCTGAAGAAGAACATTGAGCGAGGAGTTCTGACTTGCCTGTTCAAAAAAAAGTATTTCTATTGGGTCGCTTTCCAATCAATTACATTATGGTGAGGTACACATATACATCTCTTTTCACCTGACACGTTCTTCTCTCCTTTTATATCGCTCGGGTGGATTAAAGAATGAAAACAGTATCACACAAATAGTGTGTTCAATACAGCAAACGTTTCAGGATGTTTCACAAAAATAAATGTATGTAGGGGGTCACCTAGTTTGTAGATCTATGGTCACATCTTACTTACGAAATACGATAATAGAACACCAGCATAGTAAATATTGCAAGAGTTTCTACTACCTTTGGAACTACTCGTTTATAGTATTATACTATAAATAGCAATTATTCCATGGATTCCAAAATGATTGGTACAGTTGTAGGAACCAGTTCGAGATCGCATATGTAAATAAAACGTTAAGGGCACTTTGCGCAGGTTGAACTACTGCGCGACTTGTATAATAAAGATAAATACTTGACTTCTGTGGATATTGAACTATTATTCTCTAACACGTCACTTTGCGAGACAATCCAGTACACTTGACAGTATATTGTCAGTTCAACCACCGGCCGAAGGACTCAAAGAACACTGGAAGGAAATCGAGGAAGCTATGCAAATGTCAATAAAAGCAACATCAGACCCTCGCTTAGGCTCAAAACACAAAAAGTGGATCTCAGCGACCTCGGCTGCCCTGCTGGACACCAACAGAACCCTTCCTTCCGATGCCACGTATGACAGCGCGCAAATCGCTCAAATGCCAGCTCATCAAGAATCTGAGGAATGACCGCGAGAAGTGGTGAATAGGAAAGTGCTAAGAGATGAAGAAGGCTGCGGCTATTGGTAACAGTGGCAATCTTTCCGTCTTATCAAGAATACGGGCCCCAGGAAAATAAGCGTAAGTGAGGTAATTAAGGAATCGGATGGCACACTGATTCACGACCAGCAAAGCCGTCTTGATCGATAAGCTGAACATTCCGAGGCTCAGTTCAACTGCATCCCATCGACATCTGAACTATCACCCTC